CCTTGGGGCGGAGGACACTGTCACTGTGGGGGGGAGGGGGAGGGCATGTCTCATGGGGACCACGCTCTGCCCAGCAGCTTGCACTTGTCCCAGCTGCTGGCCTGAGGACTTGGGAATTGCCCTTTGCCCCCCACTTCCCCCTTCCAAGGCTGGGGGCAGGGAGGCAAAGCAGTTTCCTTTTAAAACAGGCAATTTGATGTCCCTGTGGTGCCAGGAGTTTGTATCTTATAAATAGAAAAGGGTAGAAAAGAGGGTAACAGCAGGGAAAGGGATTCCCAGGGAAATCTCCCCCCTGGAGCTGGGCCCCAGCCCTGCAGCTGGAGGCACAGGAGCTGCTGGGACCACCAGCCCCTGCCTGGGGATTTCCAGCTGCACTGGGAGCAGGAGCTTCCAGCTCTCCCCAGCTGGAGAAGCTGCTGATGCTGGGGGGCCATGAGGGACAGTGGGTGCTTGGGGTGGACGTTTGCCTGTCCCACAGTGGGGAGAAGGGCCCTACTGCACAGGCCATCAGCTGGCCTGTGGACACCGGAGGGGTTGGCTGACCACGGGTGGCTTGGATTCAACAGCACAAGTGGCCCCAGGGCCCCCAAATGTTCTCCCTGGGGCTGTTACTTGCCAGCTCAGCAGCTGTTGGTGCTGGGGTGGGCTCAGGCTTCCCCATCATCCTCGCTGGAGTCCTGGGAGCCCCCAGAAACCTGTGACAGAGGTTGGGCGAGCTCAGTGGGCACAGCAACCCACTGACATTGGTGTGCCATGGACTCCCCTCTGTCCCCTGCCACCCACCTGCTGCTGAAGCCAGGGTGGCAGGACTGTGCCAGCCTCCCCTGTGTCCAGCCGGCCATGCTCCACCGTTGACTCATGGGCCATCTGTGGTAGGAGAGGGCTGGCAAGGAGGGGCCACCACCCACCAGCCGTGGTGCTGGACACCCATCGGACCCCTCCACCAAACCCCCTCGGGGGGGGTGGGGCAAGCAGCCACATACCAGGACAGGGGGTGCCCGGAAGAGGTAGCTGAAGGGGTAGTAGAGGAAGTTGATGAAGGAAGCAGCATAGAGATCTGCATAGCGCATCAGCTGATTGGCAAAGAGCGTCTGGCGTGAGCCACAGCGGAAGAGGCTGCCCATCTTCCCATAGCACATGTCCATCTCATGAGTCACTTTCTGTGGGCATGGGGTGGGGGGGGAAGGCATGTCATGGCACATCCTTCCGGGGTGCTTCCCCATGGGCAGGATGGGTGTGGGGGACTGAGATGGGTGTCCTGGGCATCACCTGTATCTGACGCTTGATGGAGCTGATGTCCGGGCGCTCGCTGCTGCCGCTGTCCAAATGTCTGGAGAGGGACAGACCCAGCTGGAGGATCCCCAGGGGTGTCCCCCCCTCCTGCTGATGCCCCCCAGCTGCCCTGTGCCCACTCACTGGTACAGCTCTGCCAGGAAGAGGTCCAGGCTCCGCAGCTCCTCAAACAGCTCTGCAAAGGCAATGGGGCCAACATCATTCCCCACTGTCAGCAGAGTGTAGTCTGGGACCAAGTCTCACCAGGGTCAGATCTGCCATGGAGAGTGGTAGGAGGCTCTGGGCCCCCCTCCCCAGTCTGGCCTGGCTGTCTGGTACTGCTCAC